ACCTGTTGCTTTATCAGTGTTTTTCAAATCACAGTTCAATACTCATTATTGGAATGTGATTATCAACTTTGTGATCACTGGTTTTTTTTTTTAATAGAGTAGAAAGTACTAGAATATATATCATATAGGAAGTATAGTTTTCTGAAACTTTAGGTAGAAGACGTTAAAAGGGATATGAAGGTGGTTCCTAATATATTTGTACAGTACTAGACAGTGAAACCTACAATCGATTAATCAATCACCTTATTCAAGTGGACAAATAATCTATTAGGGTGACAAAGATCAGGGCCCATAGATTAGATTAGTAGGGAAAGCAAGAGTCTAGTTTTCTTCCCTTGGCCTGTATTACTTAATAATATGTATCCCAAATCATCAAATTAGCAGTCAAATGGAAAATGTCACAAAAACAGAACCTAAAAGTCACTATATTAATTTATAAAATACATCATATATTCTAATAATATTCAGCAACTGTAGCTTACTGGGCATGGTGCTTGACTTTAGTCCCAGCACTTGGGAGGCAGAAGCAGGTGGACCTCTGTGAGATTGAGGCCAGCCTGGTCTACATAGCAACTTGCAGGCAGCTGGGGCTACAGAGAGACCCTGTCTCAAAAGGACCAAAAAGAAAAAAACAGTCAGCTGTTGGTGTTATAAATATGCATTTTTCACTTCAGCTAGAAAAACTATAAGTGAAGAACCTGTAAAAATCCATAAGCATGCTGACAGAGTTAGGGGCTAAAACCACCATAAATCGAGGGCGCTGCAAAGAACTCTTGGGTAATTCATTTAATTCCTGTTGAGCAACAGATGTCAAGAGGGTCAATTAGGATGAGCCACACTTAAACAACCAAACTTTTATTCACTTGCTGAGACAGTGTAAGCACAAGGCAAAAAGAGCTGGTTCCCCAGTGGTCCATTAAACAGATGGATGCCAGGTGACCAATAAGTGGATGTGGTGCACAGAAGAAAATCTTGCTGCAAAGGGGCTCCTAACAAAAGGCTCCTGACTCCTATGGACCCAATGGGCCAGGGGAGGGATGGTGAAGGGCTAGTAGATATGGCCTGAATCAAGTGTGGAAAAAAGTGTCTCATTACTGAAGGCTCTTGGGAAAGGTCTCAGCCAGTTTCTGGCAGGAGGTCCTCCAAATGGAGGCACCTAGGCCAAGAAAAAAATTATGAGTATGGTGGTGGGGGGGGTGGGGGTGGGGTTCTGCCCAGTAAGTCACTGACTGCAATTCTCTCCAGAAAACTGCACTTCACTGGCCATGTACTAAGTCTGATATGGGAGGATGGCTTCTCCCCATGAGGTAGATAGGCAAGGCCCAAGGTCAGGCCATGGGGTTTGGGTCTGGTGTAAGGACTCCTCTTTTTTTACACTTCTTTCATTTAGTAACTGTTTCTATAGAATACTACCCCCTCTCAAAACAAAAAGTCTCACACTAAAACTATACAAGGCAACTATCTCTGAAGACAATGGGGAATGGAGACCTATAGTTCCTGTGCCAAAGAGGGTCGGTGGTTGATCAGAGACTGGATACTACAGTCATGTGGGAAAGCACTCACTGAGTACCTACACTGTTAGAACCACTGGTGGCAAGTGGTGATCTCACTTCCTATTTATAAGTAAAAGGTCAGGGATTTCCACACTCAAAGCACAATCCCTTGTACTTGGATAAGGATGCACTTAGAGCTTTAAATCCCATTTCCAACTGATTTTCTTTTCTCTCCACTAAGTTTTTTGTTAACACACAAAAAAATTATGGTAACTCTAATTTTTATGTTAATGTCAAATAGTAAAAAAAACAATGGATGTGTTTGATGGTTCAATCCAAATTATTATTATGACAAGAATTTAAACCACATTGAGCCATGTATAGCTATGAAAACTGGCATCGATCAAATTCAATGTTACCTCGAGGTTGAAAGCACGATTGTCTTAACAACAAAAAAATCACTAAAAAGACATGCCTCAAAAAGTATTACAAAAGTAAACGCACAAGAAACAAAAGACCTGAGAAAAACCCTGACAACTTTCAGCTGGAGAATTATCTCTGGTGGCAATTCCGACGACCTTTGCCTCTTTCTAACATGTTCTGCCCCACTCCCCGCAACGCCCCCTCCCTCACTTGGCCTTGAACCCTCAACCTTTCCATAAACTATATTTAAGCTAATTTTCAGCCTAATCCCTCACAAGCAAAGAATATGAAGGGGTCGAGCCGAGTCCTGGGACTGCAAAACCCGACGCTGGAAAAGCACGCCTGGAGATGATGGGGCGAGGGGGAGTGCACCGGGCACTGGCGGCACGACCTCAGGGTGCGCGGGGGCAGAGCTCCCGGACAGTGCCTGCGCCTTCGGAGGTTGTAGCTCCCGGAAGGCCGGGGACTAGAAAGGAATGGAGCTGGCGTCGGGCATTCTGGTCCCCAGGAACCTCGGCGGGACCCGGGAGGGCCTGACCCTCCCCAGGTTCTGTCCCCCGAGCACCGGGCTCCGGAGGTCCTCCACACGCACCTGGAGCTGGCGAGGGCCTGGAGGCGGCGCATCTCACCGTCAGGACACACCGAAGGCAGCAGGCGAGAGCACGTCCGCAGGGTCTGCGAGGCGACTGGCTGAGTGCGCAGGCGCGGTGCCCCGGAGCGTCCAGGATTTGGTCCGGGTGGAAACAGCCTCTCGCGATCTCAGTGCTGGGCTCGCCTCTCAGCGGCCCCCGGGTCCTAGCGCACCTCCAGTCCCAGCGCTACTTTCCAAAGAGAAATAGAGGATTGAAGAAGGGTTCATTTTCCTTCTTATTGTTACCAACCCTCCAGTACGGAAACCTTGGCCAGGACTGGAAGGGTCAGGCACTTACTGGAATCGAGGGTCATAGTTCAAAGCCCACTCAACCATTCTTCTGTAATGTCAGGGGTGTTGATGAAACGCCATGTATTAGGGACATTCTGGGTCAGGACTGTCCTTAGCACTTCGTATTTTGCCAACATAAATACAACTGCAGGGCTCCGCTCTCAGCCCTCCCAGTGGTCTGCCTTGCTGGTCTTGCTGTCATGTTATGTATTCTGGCCTTTTGTAATCTGTAAAACTGCTCTTCTATTTGGGTTTTCAGACCGTTCTGATAACATGCACTTAGGTAAAATGTATATGAAGTACTCAACACAATTATAATTGTTGTTTTTATATGAAGCACATCAACTTTATGAAGTGATAGGACAGTTTTAAGATGAGGAAATTGGAACTTAGAGACATTAAAGAACTCAATGTCAAATAGCTGGTAAATGACAGAGGTGGGTTTTGAACTCGAGTAATCTAACACCAGACCTGCACTTTCAATTCACAACTATTTCCCAAATTACAGATACTCCAACATTTTATAAGTACACAAATAAAGACCAACTGTTATAGTACAGTTGCACAGTAGAGTGAAACATTATTACTGACCAAGATGATAAGGTTTCAACTACAGATTTTAAGCACAAAGATAGTAGAGAAGGATTCATTGTTTGTTTTTTTTTTTCAGGTTCTGATTATAATTTTCACCTTGAGAGAGGAGGAAATGAGAAATATCAAACAAACTTTTTTGACTGTAAACGACTTTTGGATTACTTTTCAAGGACCATTGGGGGAAAATGTTAGTTTCTAATATATTTCAGGGAGGGAGGGAGGGAGGGAGGGAGGGAGAGAGGGAGGGAGAGAGAGACTACTCTGGATGTGACAATATAGGAAAATGCCCAACAGGAAATAAGCTTCTAGTTTCTCATGTAGGAAACTTAAAGGAGTCAGATTTTGGAAGGGCTGAAGTTGTTCCTTCCAACAGAAGAATACATGGAAAAGGGAAGGGAAAAGCTTTAGATGTCCCGAGTCTTGTGAGTTCAGGTACTCTCTGGAGATTTGCTCCATTTTGCACTTTCCACCAAGAATCTTGGCTCAATAAGATCATGCAAACAATTACATCCATCACCAGGCACATAAATACTTAGGAGAGATATCAAGATCCTAAGAGAATGTTACCTGAAATCACGGACCAATGGAGGATGGGATTAGTTTCTTATCCATTACCAGAAAGCCTGACTACATAGTATGAAGTTCAGTTAAGAGTTAGATAAGCTATTCTCCAAGGCCATATACCCTATGTATATCCCTTTCCATTTACCCCGAGAGCCATCTTGGGAGCCCTATGTAGAACAGGGAGAAATTAATGTAAATAATAGCCATCAAGGAAAAGTTTTTGGAATAAGTAAGATTCCAAGTTGCACTTAGTAGAATATGGGCAGATGGAAAATGGGACAGGACATGGAAGGCAAAAGGGAAAGATTTAAAAAGTAAGTGTGACAAAGAAAAAAAACGGGAATAACATGACATACTTTGCATTAGTAACTTTCCTTTGCAACTTATTAGTGTTTTTTGAAGTTAATTAACCTTTCAGAGCTTCAGTTCCCTGGTTTTGGGGAGATGACTTAGTTGGTAGAGTTTTTGCATGAGAACCGAGTTTGGATCCTCAACACCTACATAAGAAACTGGGCACAGCAAACCTTTAACCTCAACATTGGAGAGGTAAAGACAGGGCCAGTCATTCTAGAGAGTTTGTAAGCTCCATATTCAATAAGAGAAACTGTTTTAAAAAATAAGGTGGAAATCAATTGAGAAAAACAACCAGTGTGTGCCTCCACACTCATGTGTGCACATGTGTATATACATCTGCACACATATGTGCATACACAAAGGAATGTGCACATATGCACAAAATCAACTTCCTTTCCTTTGTTAAGTGGGGACAAAAATCAGTCATTTATTCAATGTGACATCATATGCAAAACATTAAAAATTCACTTCTAAGTATGTAAATGTGAAACAGCAAGACCTTCTACAACAGGTAACAGATATAACATAGTAAGAGATAATATATACAGGGTATACAGAAAATATAACATCTAAGACTTGAAGACTTCAAGCCAAGATGGATTCTGAATGGAGGCTCCAGTCAGCCACTCACTCACCAAACATATATTTTATCAAGCATTTCTGGCATGCCAAGTGTGTTTTAGAAATGGGGCAAAGTAGCAGACAGATAGGCAAGTAAAAAATAAAATCTGTCATAGCACATTTTATATTCTAAGGGGTGTAGAAAATAAATAGTAAAATATATAATATGTTGAACATTGATATGATTTGAGGTGAATGAGTCAAACACAGAAGTAAACTGTGAAGTTTCTTTTTTCATTTTTAATGTTTTTATTGAATTTTTAATGCATTTTATATATCTCAAATTTAGACCCCCTCCCCACCTCCATAATTCTCCCTACCCCCATATCCCCCTCCCCCCATCACTAGATTTCAGGTATTCTGTCATATATGCTAAGTCCTATTCAGTCAAGCATTTCTATCCAGGTGTCCCTTGGTGCAAGTTCATCCACTGGAGTTTGGAGAATGTGCTAGTTAGTTTTAACTGTCAATGGACACCTTCACCTGGGAGGATAGCACTAGTGAGGAATTATCTAGATCAGGTTGGCCTGCAGACATGTCTGTGAGGAATTTTCTCCATTGTTAGTCAATGTAGGAAGACCCAGCCCATTGTGAGCAGTACCATTCCCTAGTGTGATGGCTAATCCTGGGTATTAATTTGACTGGATCTGGGATTAACTGAAATGAGAGAGATCTTCTTGATTGGATCATCTGAAGCTGAAAGACACACCCTAAATGTGGGTGTTACCTTCTGATGGCAGCCCATATAAAAGGCCATGGCAGAGGAGAATACTTCTGGTTTCTTGCCGCTTGCCTTCTCTCTTGCTGGTGAGTTCGTCTTGCTGCTGTAGACTGAAGGCTAGCCTAGGTTTTGGAATTCATCAGCCCTTCAGCACCAGATTGGGACTACTGAGACATCTAGCCTTGTGGACTGAGTGACTATGGATTCTCAGCCTCTCCAGTGTGGTGCAGCCATTGTTGGACTATATTCATTCTACCGGTTCTGTTTCTTTAGAGAACCCTGACTAATACACCTAGACAGTCCTGAACAGTACAAGAGAGGAAAAAGCTAGCCGAAAGCAACAAGGATGTGTTTAGTCTCTTTGTTCTTCACTGTGGCTGTGGTATGATTAGCTGTTTGAGTTTCTGCCTTGCCTTCCCAAAAATTGATGTACTGTAACTTGAAATTTTAAACCAAACAAACGCTTTCCTCCCCTATGTTGCTTTTTGTTGGGCATTTGCCATGGCAACAGAAACAAAGCTAGAACAGGGAGGAACTGATGCCATTTTATTCAAAGATGATCCTATAAGAAGTAATGTGATTGTTTTTAGTAAAACCCAACAGAAATTAAAGAGGCATCCTTGCCAAATGGAGGTAGTAAGAGGCAGTAACAGAGAAAGAACTTATTCAGGAGACCGATATTCAGACTGCACTGAGCATAGATGACAGTGCAAGGGAGCGTGGCAAATGTGAAAGTATGAGTAGATCAGAATTGCCAAAGTGTGAAGTCTGGGAGGGAAAGGGGGATGGGAGAGTCACCGCTCAGCTAATAATTTAGAGCAAGTAATTCTCATCATGTTTTCAGGAAGCCGGAAAAGGCCTTTCATACCAATGTTTTCTTGTTTACTGTTGCTTACATATGGTTTGAAAAGTTACAAAGGCAATATCAGAAACTAAGTGGTTTGGAGGAGGGGAATGAAAGCTTTATTTTTTAAATCTGATATAATCACATCATAAACATGAGTGAAAATGTTACAATGAAGCCATTTTGTACATCTAACACATGCTAATATAAAAATTCACTTAAAAACTTCTATTTTTTTTTTTTTTTTTGGTCTTTTTGGGTCAGAGTCTCCCTGTAGCCCCAGCTGTCCTGGAACTCACTATGTAGACCAGGCTGGCCTTGAACTCACAGAGATCTGCCTGCCTCTGCCTCCTGAGTGCTGAGATTAAAGGCTCTATTACTTTTTTTTGGGAGAATCTGAAAGAAAAATCTTGAATGATGCTTGCAATAGATCTTTAGACATTAAGAGGTTGAACTCTGTATAGAACAAAGCTTATACAATGGAAAAGTACTTTTTAAAGATACTTAAAAACTATAACAAAATGCAGATTACACCCATGTTTTCTACCCTTTAACATTATGTCCATGTTGGTGATCTTGGACTTTTCTTACAGAGATTCATCTAGAAGTACTTGTCTTAGCTAATGTTTATAGCCATGCTGAAAATGGATGACTTGTTCTTTGTTTTGTATCTGTAAAGTTATTGATCTACAGTATTGTTTCCAAAGCTACTATAACCATTTAGATATGAATCAGGCATACCTCATGTACATAGAGATTGTATATAACTATTATATTATATATTCAGGATATATATGTATATCCCTGAATTATATTTCGGTGTCACATTTCTACATGGTCACACTTCCACAGGGCAGGAGCTTTCCAAGTGGCCCTAGTCCTGCCAGTCTTGTCTTGTCAAAGTCTGCCCAGGTAGCAGGCTGAAGCAAAAAAAATCTTTAGAGGAAAGAAGCAAAAAGGAAAAGAGGAAGTTAAGGAAATGAAACAGAGAATAGCAAATCCCGAAGACAAACTTGGGGAAATGGATCATTTAATCAAAGAAAATGTCAAATATGAAATAAGTCAGGAAAGGAATATGTAAGGCCTCTG